GTGCATAGATAAGATCCCTGAAGTTGCAAAGACTAAAGTCTCACCCCAAGATTTGCTGTGTTTACCAAGTACCTTTTTTTTTTTTTTTTGTGCGTTTTATAGCATTAGTGATTTCTGTAGTAACTATCTGCAGTTTGATTACACACACTGTTGGTTGGAAGTCTATAATCACCAGAAGGAAATGCTTATCAATGTCCCCATTTTTCAAAGGCAGTTGCATGGCTGGCACAGGATGGTCCCACAATTGTTATTTGAAATGTATTGAATTCCATCAGAATTGTCGCTTACATTTTCATTTAGCAGATGCTTTTATCCAAAGTGACTTACAAAAGCAATCAAAACTAAAACCATTTATGTCTCCGACTCATAAATGCTGTTTTATTAAACTCATTGTGAATCCACATGAAAATGACACTAATGCTAATGAACAATCACCAAAAATCTTTTTTTCCCCTTAGTACAATTTACGTCCTTTTTTTTTTTTTTTTTGTGCGTTTTATAGCATTAGTGATTTCTGTAGTAACTATCTGCAGTTTGATTACACACACTGTTGGTTGGAAGTCTATAATCACCAGAAGGAAATGCTTATCAATGTCCCCATTTTTCAAAGGCAGTTGCATGGCTGGCACAGGATGGTCCCACAATTGTTATTTGAAATGTATTGAATTCCATCAGAATTGTCGCTTACATTTTCATTTAGCAGATGCTTTTATCCAAAGTGACTTACAAAAGCAATCAAAACTAAAACCATTTATGTCTCCGACTCATAAATGCTGTTTTATTAAACCCATTGTGAATCCACATGAAAATGACACTAATGCTAATGAACAATCACCAAAAATCTTTTTTTCCCCTTAGTACAATTTACTTTAAACTGAGTTGAAGCAACACCTGATGTAACCACTTTCACCAATTTGATTAAGTTTAGACGAAAACAATTGTTTTCAAAAGTTTGCAATTAGAAACCAGCTTTCAAAAAGCCCTTAAAATGGCGTTGCTGTGTAAATGAAAGGCCAAAACATTAAAGGTTTTTTTTTATTTTTTTTTAAGATGAAAACGGTGTGGTAAATGCCATCTTAGTTTCCACCATGCTCGTAAGGGCCAGGCTTACTAACAGCTTGCACGAGTGCAAACCCTCTACTGTCAGGATTTACTGAAGACATGAAATTAAAAATTGGCAATGAAATGGTGTGGACAGTTATTTCTGTGGTTGTTCTTACTGCATTTACATTTGAAGTAGGATGCAAAATTTATGGTAGAAGTATGTAAATTTTTAATTTACTAAGGTTTGCGGTAGTGATTTTACTGGTATTTGGAGGTAAAGGACTTAGTTTTTAATGTTTAGTAATGTTGGACATTTAAAAGAATTTCTGTGATAAAAGTTTGTTTTTCTGTGGTTGCCATATCGTGCTGAGGAGTTAGGATTAGTGACTAAGGTTGTGATATGGATGACTGATTTGAAGACTTTTTAAATTATTTTTTACTCTAAGCACAATACCTATGGGAATACAAAAACTGAGCAGTGGTGTATAAAGTACCTGAAAGCCATACTCAAGTAAAAGTACAGATATCTTATCAGAAAATGACTTTGGTAGAAGTTGAAGTCACGGTTTAGAATATTACTTGAGTAAAAGTCTTAAAGTATGTGATATTTATTGTACTTAAGTATTGAAAGTAAAAGTACAAGTAAATGCAAAATGGAAAAGAAGCAAATAAATATATATAAAAATGTTCATACACAGCTTGAGTAGCAAGGTTGTATTCAGTTTTAATTCAAACGGCTGATTCATTCAGAAACAAAGCATTTGACTGTTAATCAGTGAATCACTGAATCATTTATTCAACCGATTCGTTCAAAAAGCTGATTCATTCAATAAGTAAACATATTTGCTCAGAGAAGCAAAACAGTGCTGTGATCTTTGTTTGGAACAATTGTCGTTAGCAAAATTGAGCAAAAACAGGCAATATTATGTCTAAAATGTAAGTCACTTATTGCTTTACTGAACTTGTATAAACTGATTATTAAACGTGTTCATGCTGAAATCTGCAGAAAAACAGTACTCTTTGTGTGATTATAGATTAAGTTAACTATATTAAATTATATAAATTTAAAAAGCATACAGAAGCATTTTTTGCCGTCTATAATTTAGAATGCCTGAAATTTTGAGTTTTAATAGACTAATAAATCACTTGGTGTGTGATTTGGTGATATAGCATTATTTGATAATGTCAGATCGCACATCATTACAACAACATTTACCACATTATCGCAGACGATGCTGTATCGCGCACCACACCCTAGCATCGACTTGAGTGGAAAATTAATCATCCGTGGTTTTGCTTGCACTTGTTTGCTAGTTAGCAACGGTGTTTTTAGGAGTCTAACTTGCAAACGCCAGACCACTGATTCATCAAACCTGCTTTCCTGCAGTCCATGTTCTTCTGACTATTTTGTAGTAAGTAACGAATATGCTTCGGGGAAATGTATTGGAGAAAAAAGTATACATTTTAAGTAGGAAATGTAGTGGAGTAAAAGTAAAAGTTGGCTGAAATATAAAAACCTCAAGTAAAGTACAGATACTCCCAAAAAATACTTAAGTACTGTAACGAAGTATTACTAGAATTATTACTAGTATTAATACAAGATTTTAGGCCTGTTTTTTTTAACTCACCGCCAGTTAATAGAGATCGCAGACAATAGCCCACAATCAAAGGCAAATTTGTACTTGTTCATGTGAATGACGATCACTATGTTTGAATGAAAAAGACAATCTAATACCAGGTATGCACTACAAGATTTAGGGCCCAATTTTCACTCAACAGCAATTCTGTCATGACAACTCTTGGGGAGTTTAGCATGGTAATATACATGGAAATGTTAATGTGTTTGGTTAGTGGAATAAATCTACTACGTTGCTGCTGCTGCAGCAGAGCAAGTACTGAGATTTTCTACTGCCAATACATCCACAGACATGCTGCCGTGAGCTACAAAATACTGCTGCTGTACTTAATATAACATATTTCACGAGTTCGCACTTACATATAATAGGATTTAGCAAATAGTAAGCATATTTGGAGTGCTGTCTTGAAGGAGGGCTCCGAGCTTGGAATATAGCCTAAACCCAGAGAACTCCCCCCCCATCCCTACACTGTAAACCCGAACAGTACTACTAACTTATAAAGATTAAGAACACTGCAATTAAAGTCTGTTAAATTGTTGATGCAACTTATAACAATTACATTTTCTGAACGTAGAATTTAGTTTGATTTTTGTGTGGCTCAACAGTTTTGAGTAAACTCTTCTATTTAAATTATCGTTTTTAAGTTTACTGAGTGACGTAAAGTGACGTCACCCCGTTGCTCTAACCGACATTCAGAAGAATCCATTCAACATGGCGGAGAATCGCAAGTGACCAGAGCAAACTTAATGGAACAACTTGTAAGTAAATCAAAACAACTGTGAAAATTTCTTATTTGCTTTTTGAGTGTTGTAAGAATATCATGATAAAGGAGTGCTTTCATTTTTGGGAAACGCTGTTTTTACACAGCGCTGTATTACACGGTAAAACTGTTTGCATTACAAACCAGTAGGATCATAATTACGATAATACATTAAAATAATATGGTAAGACACACCAATTTTCAATATCAAGCCGCAAAAAGAGCGGTTCTGTACAGCTAAAAATAGTTGGATACTGATGAGACCGGAAGCTAGAACCATATAATTTACAAATGGCCGCGCCCATTTTTACGGTAAGAAAAAGGTGGATAATGTTAACGTAAAAGAAGGGCATTAATGTTAACGTTAGCCGACATTTTATCAGTAAACACAGTCCTAACGTACGTTTTGAATGTTTGTTCTACAATATCAACTGCACACACTCACAGCCTAAACCATCTTACCTAGCTACTTACTAAAAACAAAAATTTTCAAAAATGAACATAACTGCTTCAGAATTTGTATTTTGGGTATGGACGTGTAATTTATGTTGTACAACAAAACATAAAAGTATCGACAAGTTATGTTTACCACGGGCTTTATTTTAATTGAAAAATACGAAAATCTAGAAGGAACCCACGTGAATTACTCTTCAAGGTTCTGACGTTATAGTTTCCCCACTCTATTGGCAGTAAATATAAATGTCTACTTTTAGTCTCTGAAGTTAAAGTTAAAGTTTTACCCTCTGTGCTTATTCCAGGAGGAATTGGGTGAGCCAGACATCACTGACACAAACGCCTCTCCAGCTGATTTTGTTATCATGGACAACGAAACTACTACAAGTCCTGCAAGCACTGCAGTTGTGATGAGATGATCTTCTATGGGGGTAGAATTGTTGCTTTATTCCAAATAAATAGATTATGATCCACAAATAAATGTAAAGAGATTAACAAAAATTAAACATATTGACGAATAAATAGAATGAGATCCACAAGTAAATCTTAGCGTTTCACAAACATGAAATAAATTCACAAATAAATAAAATGCAATTTGCAAATAATTAACTGCAATGTTTAGGGCTGCGTTTCTCAAAAGCATCGTGAGCTAAGTCGATTGTTGAGACCATTTGGTGGCAAATGTTTCTACGATCATCTTAGCCATACAATGCTTTTTTGGGAAATGCCCTGGTAAATGTGATTTTTATTTGGTCTGTTTTTAAACAACTAGCTGCTAAGAGTATTAATCCAAAATTAGGTTAAAGCTAATACACAGACATGAATTTTGCAATATATTAAATTTACAAACGCAATCTACAAACTTGTAGTAAAACTTTACAAACTTTCTTCAATTGCAGGCTGAGCTGGATGCTGAATACAAAAGAGTGAGCCTACACTTAAGGTAACCATTCAGTTGAAGAGCAAGTTGTGTGATGTGTCCTCACATAACAGGACACAGACTCGGCTTTCTCTTTTCTACATTCATTGTTGGTTATACACTTACTTGTGCGTTTGTGGTTTTCTAGGTTTGTGCTGAGTTTCACCATATCAGAGAAAGTGGCACACACTAGCAAGATTTCACAGATGTTGCATGACATTCTAAATGTTTGATCTTCAGGTGAGTGCAAATTCACAAACACTAACTACCTCCATCACTGTCTTCATTGTATATAAAATAAAGTTGGCCTGCTGGTTTAACATGTTTATTTTTTTGTTTACATGATGTCAACATGCTCTCCCAGTGTACGTGTGTGAGGAGAACTGTTCTTCAGGACATGAAATGTAAGTTAAGTGCATTAATAATAATAATAATTAAGTGCATTAATAGATCTGAAATAGAGTGGGGGAACTATGACGTCGGAACCAGGAAGTGTAATTCACCACGGGTTCCTTTGAGATTTTCCTATAGGTTTTTTTTAAATGAAAATGTGGTAAACATAACTTTACAATACTTTTACGTTTTGTTCTACAATGTAAACTGCTCACACTCACAGCCTAAACCTTCTTATCTAGCTACTTATTAAAAACATACGTTTTCAAAAATGAACATAACTGCTTCAAAATTTGTATTTTGGGTATGGATCTGTGTAATTTACGTTGTACAACAAAACGTAAAAGTATCGTCAAGTTATGTTTACCACAGGCTTTATTTTAATTGAAAAACCCCATTATAAAACCCCATAGGAAAATCTAGAAGCAACCCACGGCGAATTACTCTTCCGGGTTCTGACGTTATAGTTCCCCCACTATATTGGCAGTAAATATAAATGTCTACTTTTAGTCTCTGAAGTTAAAGTTAAAGTTTTACCCTCTGTGCTTATTCCAGGAGGAATTGGGTGAGCCAGACATCACTGACACAAACGCCTCTCCAGCTGATTTTGTTATCATGGACAACGAAACTACTACAAGTCCTGCAAGCACTGCAGTGACATGAATTTTGCAATATATTAAATTTACAAACGCAATCTACAAACTTGTAGTAAAACTTTACAAACTTTCTTCAATTGCAGGCTGAGCTGGATGCTGAATACAAAAGAGTGAGCCTACACTTAAGGTAACCATTCAGTTGAAGAGCAAGTTGTGTGATGTGTCCTCACATAACAGGACACAGACTCGGCTTTCTCTTTTCTACATTCATTGTTGGTTATACACTTACTTGTGCGTTTGTGGTTTTCTAGGTTTGTGCTGAGTTTCACCATATCAGAGAAAGTGGCACACACTAGCAAGATTTCACAGATGTTGCATGACATTCTAAATGTTTGATCTTCAGGTGAGTGCAAATTCACAAACACTAACTACCTCCATCACTGTCTTCATTGTATATAAAATAAAGTTGGCCTGCTGGTTTAACATGTTTATTTTTTTGTTTACATGATGTCAACATGCTCTCCCAGTGTACGTGTGTGAGGAGAACTGTTCTTCAGGACATGAAATGTAAGTTAAGTGCATTAATAATAATAATAATTAAGTGCATTAATAGATCTGAAATAGAGTGGGGGAACTATGACGTCGGAACCAGGAAGTGTAATTCACCACGGGTTCCTTTGAGATTTTCCTATAGGTTTTTTTTAAATGAAAATGTGGTAAACATAACTTTACAATACTTTGTCCACGCATTTGTGGATTGGTGTGTGTCTCGATGCTAGAAATGTTTCAAAATCCACAAATGCACAGCGAGCGATCCACAAATGGGTGCAGCGATCTACAAATGCACGGGACGCGATTCACAAATTAATGCCAGGCAAAGTTGTGTTTGTGACTTAAAAAGATATTTGTGAACATGTTTTTTATTTGCAAATCTCATTTTATTTATTTGTGGATCTAATTCTATTTATTCGTCAATATGTTTAATTTTTGTTAATCTCTTTACATTTATTTGTGGATCATAATCTATTTATTTAGAATAAAGCAACAATTCTACCCCCATAATCTTCCAGTGTTTGACATTCAGAAATACACAGTTCATGCGGTTTAAAAAAGGCAATTGTATCAATTGTATAGCCACAGTTGTGCGTGTTTTTTTATGCATAATATTTTTGGAGTTAGTATTTGTATTTAATAAAGCACCACTGCATCAAAATAATTGGTAAATGAAAAACATTACGTATGATAAACAATAATTTTAATTACACTGCCCTTAAACATTAAGCAAAAACTAATTTAAGCTTTTTAGTTTGACTTATAATTAATGTTAACTTAAAAAATGTTGAGTATTCTGAACTTATCGGGTTTTACAGTGTAGTATGGGATGAGAATAGTTTAAGAGTGATGCGTTGGGGTGGAGGAGGGATGCCGGAAAACAGTCGTGAGAGAGAGTTGACTTGGCTGTGTATATATATATATATATACTGTATATATATATACAC